TCCTCAAAGCGAGGCTTTTATTTGGTTAGAATGACATCCTAAATAACGCAACGTGCAAAGCAAAGATATGTGGATGCAATTCCAAATCCATTATACCTGGATGTTGAAATTTGTCATTAAACAACATAAAATGTATTTATAATTTTGTTCGTCGTTTTGCATATAATAATAGGTTTAGATGTATGCGACTAGCCAACAAAAAATCAAATAAAACCATGAGATAACGTTTATAATGATTAATGACTAACGAGCATTGAAAATTGTCTGGAAGTCACCTTCAGTTGAAATGAGGTATCTCACTATATCTGAATATACAAATGGACGTTTATCCAAATATTAACATTAAACTTATACATAATAGTGTTAAATGAAGTGAAAAGTTGAGAAATTTGGTTTTGGTAACTTTTTATTTTTTTTACTAGGGCAATTAATAATAATAATTAGAACAGACACGCTATTACATATATGTATTTTTAAGAATATCGGCCTAGTACACAGAGAGATACTAAAAAAAAACACAAAAATATCGAGTCATCCTTCACTTTTAATCTTCATGTCTTTGATAGATTGGTACTGAAATGTCAAATAAAATGAAAGATATAAACGTAAAATTCATGAACATCAGCTTGATGTCAAGATCAAATAAATACGTGATGCTTGAGAAAACCTATTTTATTAACATGCTAGAAAATTTTGTACAGAAAATACAGAAAATTTAAGCGAGTGAAATATCAAAATTAGAGTAATTAATAACAATTTTATCGGGAATGCATCTGCGATATTTGATTTTTACTTACTAAACTTAAGCTAAAGAAGTACTGTAATAGAGTTCATCGGACTAGCTGCTTTCAGGTTTTCTCGACGTTTCATGATCCCTAGAGTACGAAAAAATGTGTGTCTCCTTTCCGGTCTGCTGTGTGTGCGGCTTTTTATTATACAGATAATCTCTGAAACACTGGATCAATTGATCTCAAATTTCATATGTGTATTAGGAATTTCGTGTAAATGGTAAAACGCTAACCAAGATTTGACAAATCATCCCCGCCAACAATATCTATTTAAATTTTTTAAAATAAAATGCTCCTGCACTTGTGGTTTATGAATTCGCGTTGAATTTTTACCCTGGACGTTCAGATTTTTGGAAAAAAAAAATAAAAACTGTATAACATTTTGTAATTTAACTTTGAAATTGCAAAACCCAGTGGTCTGAAATCTTGCAAATGTTTTAAAGTTTTAAGCATGCTAAATCGTTAATTAAAATTATTTCGTTCATGTCCCTCCTTCCCGAAAAAGATCTCACTTTACAATTTTGCATAATAAATGTTTCTTAAATTTTATTTAGTGTAATTTATGAATCCGCGTTGAGTTTTTACCCTAGATATCCAGATTTTTCAGAAAAAATTCAAAATTTTGCAGTTTAACTTAGGAAAAAATTTTGCAAACGTTTTAAAGTTATATATATCTTGGGATTTTTCATTTTTGTTTCTTCAATTTGTCGATGTTTCAAATTTTCGATATGTCGATTTCTTTATTTTTCGATTTCTGATTTTTTCGATATTTCAGTTTTATAATTTTTCAATTTTTCAATTTTTGGGGTTTCTACATTTTCGAATTCGCCATTAATCAATTTTTCGGTTTTCCAACTTTTCGATTTCTCGATTTTTTGACTCACAGATTTTTAGTTATTTTGACTTTCCGATTTCTGCATTTCTCGACTTCTCCATTTCTCGATTTTTCGATTTTCTCATTTTTCTATTTTTCAGTTTTTGCTGTTCAATTTTTTTATTTTTCAAGTTTTTGATTCTTCAGTTTTTAAAATTGTTAGTTTTTCAATTTTTCGCTTCGGAACTTATTTTACACTTAAAGTTAATTCGCAATTAACTTTTAATTGAGATCCGTTGCTACGCAACGTGCATGTTTTAATCAATCACGGGCTCATATTCTACATTTTAATCCTCTGTTAATTTAAGCGAGGATTAAATATGTACTTAAATCGCTTGCTATAGACCGGCCGTAGATTTTTCGATTTTTCAATTTTTCGTTTTTTCATGTTTCAATTTATCCATTTTAAATTTTTCGATCTTTGAATTTCTTGGTTTTTTAAATTTTAGATTTTTCGATTTTTCAATTCCTCTGTTTTCCTGCTGAGACTTTTGATTTCATTTAATATTAAACCTTAAGATTTTAATGTTGAAGTGTCAACAGAAATAAATTTTTCAAATTTAATACAATCCATAAATACATTTGTGTTTGAAGAAAAAAAGTTTACAAAAATATGTCTTGTTAAGAAGTTTTTATGGTAGATGAAGCACATTTCGGAAACGTTTTTAACGTGATATAATATTATTTAGATTTTAGTAGCAACCATATTTTTTGCATATTCGAAACAGTTTTTTTTGAGCGTAGACTAAGGACATATAGTAATCGAGTCCATCGGGCGACTTGTCATTTTAATATGTTCTCGACGTTTTATGACCCCCAGAGTACGAAAAATATGGTCTCCCGTTTCCGTCTATCATCTGTCTGTCCGTCTGTCTATATCGATTTTTATTAAACAGATAATCTACGAAAATACCGACCCGACTGTTTTTTTGTGGTGTGTGAATCCGTGTTGGCTTTTCATCTAGACATCCAGATTTTTGGAAAAAAAATCAAAATTGTATAATAACATTTTACAATTTAACTTTGTAACTGAAAACCGAATGCTCTGAATTTTTGCAAACGTTTTAAAGTTATCGCAATCATGGTAAATCGTTAATCAAAATGTATTCGTTTATCCCCTCCCAAAAAATTGATGACGTCATCTCAAAACTTTGCTCAATATGAAATATGCAAAATATTATGACTCTCTGCTTGTGGTTTATCAATGCATTCATAGTTTTTAGAATTACGAATACTTATACACGTGATTAAAAAAAAATAATGAATAAGTAATTTATTGTATTTATTAAACCAAGAACGACTCACTCCATTGTCCCGAAGGTATTATAGATAATTGCATCTACCCAAATTGATATACGTGTCCTCCCATCATGTTGTAGAGGAAAAACTCACTTGAAACAAACACGTAGCACGATTATTTACCGTTACTTTAACATTATGTACATACATTTATTCTAACTTACACGAATTATCATAAAAAAATAAAATCTTACAATTTTTCGGAAAATCTGGATTTATTGTATGCATTTGAGGGGCGAGGGAAGTTCTGGTCAAATAACTTTTCATCAGTTTTTTTTGTTAACAATTAGAAAAATATGGTGTGAGTTATTTTACCACAAAATTTGTTTCAGGCGCTCACATTAATTTATACCTGTTCTGTTTACAAGTGTTTTGTTTGTAATATATCAGGGCTGTTTTGACGGTACGCGAAAATTTAAAATTAACAGTGCTTCTAATCAAAGTTTATTAACCATAAATGCTGTTGTGTTTTGTATATTACCTATTACCTTTCAGTGAGGGCGTTTTAAAAATATAAGTTCAAGGTACAATTTAAAACAGAACAGCTGTATAGTGGAAAGTACTTTCACATTATACACCTAAATGAGTTCTATCAAAATTAAACAGTAACCTCAATAATGATTACAAAAACGACTCCGACTGACATATTTTTCATTTTGTAAAAGCATCAGTTGGTAAGTGACTTATGTAAAAAGGAATCTCGGAAAATGAAAAACGACTTCGTTACGTCGTTTAATTTTCTCCAAACGTGTTTTCTATTCTTTTGTGTTGTAATCCATTGACTAACCTCATATCGTAATGTACTATAATAGCTATAGAACAAGAAAATAATTAGTAGAGCGAACACATACTTTCTCCAACGTACGCAATTGATTAATGTCAAAATTTGGATGTTTTATACCGGACTCGTTACATTTACCTAGTAATTAAAGCAGCACATGATGATTCTAAAAATAATAACTCATGTGCTGAAGGGATTAATTAAATAAAAATAATCTAAAAATCGGTCGGTCATTGCACTCGATGCTGTTTTCTATATTCCAGTTGCGTTGTACGAAATACAGTTTTCTAGCCCGCTTGGCCGTGTATTTTAGTTCCCAAAGTTACGCAAGCGACCTCCTTTCCACGTAGGAAATAGCAATGATTCCTATGCGCTGGGACTGCAGTGGCTTTAATTTAACAACTGTTCGGTTTTTACATTGCCATGACGTAAAAACTCAACGATAAATTACTTTACATTTATTTTTTAAATGCCTTGTTGTATGTTGAAACCTATACAACACTCATTCAGTACACCCACTTCTCTCCGATTTGTTTATAACCAAAACAATAAACTGACCTTTAGCACTGAGTTATGTAAAATTTCGTGTTGTAAAACAGTCAAATAAATAAATACGTAGACACAGTAGTTTGATTGGGCTGTGTGCTGATCAACGACTAACATTTCCTGAAAATCACTAGATGACTGCTGGTTTTTACGAAACCGCTCTTCTTAAAAGTCGATAAATAATTATTTGAATTTCAAGATATGATATAACCGGTGACCGGTGAGAACAGTTAGCTGTGGGTGTGGGTTTTACCCATGAATGGACAATTAACTAAAAAATGGAAGATGTGTGTTAAGCAAAGTCGGATACCTTGTGCGATAAAATTCAGAAAAGAATTTTAATCAAAAACCTTGGAAGAATTTGAAATTTGAATTCATGGCTGAATAAAATTATACCTAATTTGTAGTAATGGAAGTTGATAGACAAAAAAACCTAAGATGTATTTTAATGTTGTTCATTTTAATATTGTTCACACATTTCCAAATATAAACTGCACTATTTATACGAGGACACTTTATGAACTAAGATGAAAAGTGAATTACTTAAAGTAATTAAATAGAGAATGCAATCATTACGTGTAGATGTTTATCGACCAATTATTTTGTTTGTTAGTATATTTATATAATTCTTGGGTATTTTGCACGATATTCTCAACATTTTTTGTTTCTCTCAAAGTTGCCTATTCATTTTTGTGCGTTTTCCTCCCAATAGGTGAAGGAAAATCGACTCTGGTTAACATCCTCAGGACTAAGATTGATTCAGTTTCGGACAACCTTCAACACCTTCAGTCCTTCGTTCTTTGCTTCCCTTCCAAATCTTTATTTTGGTGGTGCTCGGTAAAAAAAGGCGGACGAATCCAGAGACAAGAATTACCTGAAGAATACAAATAGTAATTACTGGAATCATAAAAAAATCGTTAGTAGTATGTATTACTTTTGACTCAAATATTTTGTAGACTTTGGCATTTTCTAAAAATTTTAAATTTAATGGCTTGAGAATGACAATGATTTTAGAACTTTAAATTTTTGTTCCATGTAGAAGCACTTTTCATTTACAATGTTTCCACATGCTTTTTTCACATATTTTTTTTTTAACAGCTGATACTGTGATATTTTATTTCAGATAGCGACAGAGTTAACAATAACTTTTTCAGTATTCGAGATAAGACATGAGAGTCTTTTATCAAATATTCATTCACTTTACCTGTGGAATTATCCTCAATTTTATAATCATAATTTTTTACTTCCAGAACGCAACTGAAGGAAGCATTATAATAGAGTCCGTCCAAAATTTGTCTAATCATCCCCACCAAAATGTGATGGCGTCGTGGATTTAAATTGTATGAAATAACATGTACTTTATGACTCCGTGTTGAGTTTTTACCCGAAACGTCCAGATTTTTGGGAAAAAAATCAAAATTATAAAATAACATTTGCAACTTAATTTTGAATCTGCAAAATCGAATGCTTTGAAATCTTACAGATATTTTAAAGTTATGTTGGGTATGATAAAAAAAAAGTCGAATAAATCCCGTACTTGTGGCTTATCATTCCATTCATATTTTTTGGATTTGCTCAAACAGGGTGACTCAAAAAAAATTAATAAACGCGTGATTTTATTTTATTGATTTAATCAGGAACTACAAAATCCAATGCTTTGAAATCTTGGAGTTGTTTTAAAACTATCATAAGCATGGTAAATTTTTTAATATTTTTTAGGTTTGCTTAGACAGGGTGTCTTAAAAAAATTAATGACTGATAAGTCAATTTATTTTATTCTTTAAATCAAGCATTGCAAAACTGAATATGTACTTTGAAATCTTGCAGACGTTTTGAAGTTATTAGAAGCATGGTAAATTTTTAAGTAAAATGTATCTGTTTATCATACCCAAAAAATTGATTAAGTTATCTCAAAATTTTGCCGAATAAATCTTATCTAAAATGTACAAAATATGATGAATTTGTACTTGCGATTTATTATTCCATTCAGATTTTTTGGATTTGTTTACACAGGGTGACTCAAAAAAATTAATAAATCAGTCAATTTATTGTATTGAATAAATCAAGAATTGCAAAACTGAAAGCTTTGAAATCTTGCAAACGTTTTAAAGGCATTGTAGGCATGGTAAATTGTTAATCAAAATAAATCTATTTATCAACGACGTGATTAAATTGTTTCGTTATTTTATTGATTATTATAAATCACGATTCAAGAATAACAATAATACAATACTTTTATTATTAGTATTACAATGCATCTATCCAAACTGATATCTGCGTCCTTGCAAAAATGTGGATGACATCAACACAAAATTTGATAATAGAAAAACTCACTTGTAACAAATGGTTAGCATATTTCTTTACCTTTACTAAAACATTAGATACATATTTTTATTTTAGCTTATAATGGTTGCTATAAAAAACAATAAAATTCGCAAAATTAAATCTTTTAATTTTTCGAAAGAGATGATTTGACAAGCTGTACTTCATGGGCGTGGGAAGTTCTTCGACTAATTTTTTTCACTAGGGAGTTATTTGTTTTTTGTAGCTACCATAACCACAGCAAGTTATATAATTAACCTCAATTTTAGCAAAAATCAAAATAAATTACTAAAATAATACACGAATTTGACTTTGATAACCCAAAAATATTGTACTTCGAAAGTAACAGAACAAAGGAAAATTTCAGTGAGATGGTAAATTTCAAAACTGACACAAATAACCTAAGCTCAATCTACACTACCCTAATCTAAAAAATTCCAATGAGGTAACTTCTCGACTTATATAGTTACAATATCTCAATTTAAAAAGTGTAATTGGAACTAAACATATACAGTTTCCGACAAAAAATTTCAAACATCACTTTTCTGTCATGTCAAAAATTTTAATGTAGTCTATGCTTTATTGTCATTATTTCGGACAGCTGGAATATCAAACTTTCAAAATTCTAGCTTACGCTACAGATACAAATGTAAAAGTTAAAAATGACCGTCAAATATTTAGGTTAGAAACATCTAAAGGTTGCTTTACACTATCTGACGACTGAATGACATTGACGTCTGAAATTTTTTGGCGGCAACTGTAGGTATAAATATTTGCATTGAAGGAAAAATAAGATCATGTAATATTACATAGTTAACCAGGTTGTAACTTAATTTAATTTCAATTTGTTAGGTATTAAAAATTTGCAATTTCTAAATTTTATAACTTAATTCGTTAAATACATAATTCATCTCGACGACTTTGTTAGAGTGCTCAAAATGTTAATTCAAACTGAAAATATGAAATCTATTAATACGCCTGCGCGTCAACCATCTTATTTTAATTTCTAGTCCTGTAATGACCTTTGTAATTTGTAATTTGCATGATTTTATGCTATGTTTATTTCTACCGCGTGATGAGAAATGACTGTGTCTGTTGGCACTCCTGGATTTTTAGTTAAAATTGGTATCATGATGTTTTCTATAATTTCCGGTTGTCAGCTGTCAAGATTGACAAATTGTTGATATTTTTAATCCGCAAAATGAATCCAAAACATAACCTAAATTTATCGCATGTCACGATTGACATATCTGTCACACAATTACTTCCGTTATGCAAACATAATGGCAAGAAAAGTTTACGTGTTTGCTTAAAAAGTACTGCCAACAGACTCAGTCATTTGTGATCACGAGGTATTTGGCAACATAAGATTAAGATAAGCTCATTCATTTTTTTTCCACGCGACCAGTTAAAAAATTGAGGTAATTGTCACACATATGGGTAATAACGAAATTAAAATTTAACAAGGTCTCTATTTCAATTTTTCCGTCTAGAATAGAAAATCTTGTGTGAAGTAAAAAGCATCACTTTGTGCGCTCATAAAATTCAGACAATATTTTTTGACGATAATTGTATATACGTTTTCTTTCTACCTGTTTGAACATATAGGTTCTGAGACTAACAAACCAAGAGATTACTAAACAAAATTTGTTCATTCCGCCCCAGAATGTCGCCATCTCAAAGTATTATTCAGTAAATTACTTTAAATGTGAAACGCGAGATGTTTCTTTGACTGTGGTTTGTAAGAATGCCCTTTTGTTTTTAGCTTTGAGTACAGGAGACGTTCTTAGCAAGTCTATACGATTATTATATATTATTGTAAGAGTATAAAGAAATTTTTTCATTCATTTTACGAACTACATAACCGATTTCTTCGAAACTTTTGACATGACACCAACGTTCACTTTGCCCTTTCCCTCATCTCGAAAAATTATTAAATACAGCTTCCGGAAAAAAAGTTGGTCTAACGTTATTTGGACAGAACTTCGCTCGCCTCTGAGGTATAGTAGGTATAGTCTGTCAGATACTACAAGGTTATATGGCTGTTGTAAAATTAGGGTATTATGAAGGCGACAATGGAGCAGTTGTAAATTGTGTTTGTGTTAGTTTAATGTACTAAAAATTTTTAACCGGATTACCCAGCAATTGAGGTGGCAAGATATTGAGACAAATCTTACATAAGCTTATAGTACCTGACAGACTATACAACAAATCCAGCTTTTTTGAAAGATTATAAGATTTGATTTTGCGAATTGTGACTGTTCTGAAATCTTTGATGTAATGTAAAAATATCATGTAAATGGTAAAACGCTCATAAAAATTGATCTAATCATCTCCACCAAACATTTGTAAATTATTATAATTAAGATATGCAAGATAATGTATTTCTATAACTGTAATTCGTTAATTAAGCTTTTGGAAAAAAAATACAACAATGTTTTAAATTTGATTTAGAAAATAGACAACCCAGTGCTTTGAAATCTTGCCTTGTGAACCTGGTAAACTACTAAATCAGAATTTATGTGTTTATCACTTCCGAAAATTTGATGACGTCCCATACTTTTAAGATAAAAAAATACGGGTGTGTTCACAGAAAAAATACAATCTGTAAAAACGAATTTTACAGTTCTTTTAGAATCTTCGAAACGAATGTTTCTGAACTTTTGGCAAGATACAGTGATTACAAAATATGTAAGTTATAATAAAAATTTATTTATTCATCCCATATAGAAAGTTAATAATATCATCACTAAAATTTATTACATAGCGTTTTTATTTTTAGAATTGTTTACAAAGCATGTTTAATTAATGAATGAATCATCTAATTTTATTAATTAAATAAAAAACGACTGATCTATTTTCCCTAGCTTCTGGGAGCATTACTTTTTTTTCTTATAATATATTGATGACATCATAAAAAAAAACAAAATTCATAGAATCAATTTTTATTATTTTTTTAAGAAACTAGGCTGGTTTGTTTGTGTGGACTTTAGACTCATATAAGCCTCCAGATTCGTGGAACTTTCATATGGAGACATTTTTTTTATAACCAAATTATTAAACAAAATAAATTTCATACGAATTTATACAAGATGAGTTTTTGTACACTGAAATGTTATGAACATTATGGTAATTATATTCAGATATTTTCGTCACGTAAGAAAACTCATAGCTGGATTATCAATAACTAAGTACAAAATAGTGAATATATACATATAAACACAAATAAATAGGACAATAGCTGTTTTTTTTTAATATTAGACACAATCCTCGATGCTATCAAATTAAATTGGAACACTTTTAATGTAACACGCGGTTCACAACATTTTACTCGTACGACTACGGTAACCTTTAAATATACGACTATCTTTGTTACTAACACACAACTAAAAAGTGATAGACTCATTTACGGTTACGATATTTGTAATGTTTTTCGTCGGCTAATGTATCTGTTTAAGTGAACAAAGATATCACAGCTGCCGATTTTCAACTCGTGAATACGTAATCTGAGTACAAAACTGTAGCATTAAGCATTACGTTCAAGAATAAAGCAAAATCTTAAATTGATTCTGACAGGTGTACATTTTTAATGATTCTCAACGTGTCACATTACCTACACCTGGAAACGAATTCGGTATTCAAACGAGATATTTAGTGCATGAGAATGGATCTCTACGGGATTTAAAATGTTTTCATTTTTAATTTATACTTAGGGGAAGGAAGGAAAAATCCAGTACTCAGTTTTAATTTAAAACAAACACTACATTCGAGTCTTTAAAGGCGATGTTTAGTTGTTTTAGAGTGGGATAAACAAACAAATGGTCGGAATATTTTTTTTTACTCTCCATAAACTAACTGTATTAGTTTTTTGAACACATTTGAAACATTTTAATACATAACCTCTACTTTCTGCATGGAGAAGTTTGTGTTTACAAACGAAACATCTCAGAAGTGTTATTGTTTATTTATTAGACAATAGTTATTGGATCTATTGTCAGATTTCAAAAATATGTTATGAATAACGTATAGATGGTAAAACCACCAACAATTTGATCCCATCTTGGACTGTTTTTTTTCTTACACAATAATTAGGATTACCTATATGGTTTTTACGTCATAGTGATTATCACGAAATTTTGCAAAATCAAATTTTACATTTTTTCAAAGAAGCAGGATTTGTTGTATTGTACTTCAGGGGCGCGGAAATAACTTTCGGCCAATTTTTACAATTTGCTAGCAGCTGAGGAAAGATTTACGTATAATGGAACATGTGTGTCAGTAGCGAAAGAGCAAGTGGCGTTTTTACTCGGATTTTGCTATATGAAAGACACATTTGAATGTAAAGACACTTGCTCTAGATTTTTTGTGTTATAATTTTATACCACTGAGATCACAAGAATTTTTAT